TTCCTCCCCAGGTGTAATACCTTGCACTTGTCAGTATTGAAACCCATCCTATTCTCATCTGTCCACACCTGTAACCTGTCCAGGTCTGGTTGTAGCCTGTCCCTCTCTTCTAGCATGTCCACTTCTCCCCACATCTTAGTGTCATCCGCAAATTTGAACAAGGTGCTTTTCACCCCCTCATCCAAGTCACTGGTGAAGATGTTGAACAGTGCGAGCCGGAAGACCGAGCCCTAGGGCACCCCACTTGCCACATCTCTCCAGGTTGAAAAAGACCCATCCACCACCACTCTCTGGGTGCAACCCTCCTGCCAATTAGTGACCCATCTGACCGTGTAGACAATGACACCACAGTTGCCTAATTTTTTAATGAGAATAGGGTGAGAGACAGTGTCAAGGGCCTTCCTAAAGTCCAGAAAGACTACGTCCACCGCGACACCTGCATCCAAGGATTTTGTGACCTGGTCATAGAAGGTCACCAGGTTAGTCTGACAGGACCTGCCTCTAATGAACCCATGTTGGTTGCCCCTAAGCATAATCTCCCCTGCAAATATGAACCTGGATAATTTTCTCAAAGAGCTTCCCCAGGACCGAGGTAAGACCTATAGTAGGTAAGGGCCTATAGTTTCCTGGGTCCCCCTTCCTCCCTTTTTTGAAAATGGGGACCACATTGGCCCTTTTCCAGTCCTCTGGCACCTCACCAGAGCACCATGAGCACTTGTAAAGCTGTGCCAAGGGTCCCGCAATAACCTCTGCTAATTCTCTCAGCATCCTGGGGTGGAGGTTGTCAGGACCTGCTGATCTGAACACATCTAGTCCCACCAAAAGTTCCCTGACTAGGTCCTCCCTGACCCTGGGCCTGGCTGTGCCTTCCCTGGGACCATCGGGGATCCTGGTGGAGGGGATGACCTGGTCCCTGCTGAGAAAAATGCAGTCAAAGAAATTGTTAAAGAGATTAGCTTCGTCATCTGGTGCAACCACCAGATTTACTAGCGTGCCCTGCAGGGGCCCCATGTTACCCTGTACCTTCTTTTTACCCCCTATGTACTGAAAAAAGGACTTCTTGTTATCCTTGATCTGGGTTGCTAGTCCCAGTTCCATCTCCACCATAGCCTTCCTAACAGCCCCCATACAATCTCGAGCCAAGGAGAAATAATATTCCCTGTCGATGGCCCCTCCCTTGCATTGGGTGTATGCCTCCTTTTTAGCTTTGAGACATTCCTGGATGCTTTTGGTGAGCCATGTTCACTTTTGAGCACTCTTGCCCCCTTTGATCCGTGTTGGGATTGTCCCCCTTTGGGCTTGGAGGATCGTCTCCTTAAGGAACGACTACTCTTCTTGGATTCCCAACTCCCCTCCCTTCCAGGACCTCAGAGCCTCCCCAACTAGTCTCCTTACCTCATTGAAATCCACCCTCCTCAAGTTCCAGGGCTGCTGCCTTGCACAGGCCTTTGACACCCTGCGCTGGGTGGTGAATTCCAGTAGGCAATGATCGCTATTGCCCAGGTGGTCGAGCACCCACAGTCCCCTCACCAGGTCATCGCCTGTGGCCAGGACCAGATACAACAAAGCATTTCCCCTGGTGGTACTGTGCACCTCCTGGGTTAGATGGAGGTCCTGTAACTCGGCTAGGAACCTATGTGAGCTGTCAGACCTGGCTGACTGCTCTTCCCAGCAGATGTCCAGATAGTTTAGGACACCCATCATCACCATGTCCTTTGACTTAACTGCCTCCACAAGCTGACCTGAGAATTCTTGGTCCAGCTCTTCTCCCTGGTTGGGTGGCCTGTAGTAGACACCCACCGTTAAGTCCCTTTTCCCCCAACCCCCTTGTATTCTGACCCAGAACACTTCAGTCTGCCCCTCCTCTGACCCAGTGTTGTTTGTTGAGAATGTGTATTGCTCTTTGACATAGAGTGCCACATCCCCCTTTCCTCCCTGTTCTATCCCTCCTGTACAGCCTATAGCCCTTGATGTTCACCACCCAGTTGTGCTTTGGATCCCACCAAGTTTCAGTGAGCTCCACTATGCCTGGGTTTGTGTTAACTAGCAGGAGGGCAAGTTCCTTCTGCTTCCTCCCCACACTATGAGCATTGGTGCAGAGGCATTTAAGGCCTCCTGAAGGTGCACCACCCCCCTAATCCCAGGACTATCAAAGGCCCCTGTCTCTTACCTGGGTACTTCTTGTGCTCGTTGCCTGTCTTGGCTGGGCTGGTCTTGTGGGTGACTCTTGGTTCAGTATTCCATGACTCCCTCCATCCTCATCCTCCCCTTTCCCCAACAAGCCTAGTTTAAAGCCCGCCAGGGAGGTGACAGTTTCCATTCCCTCATAATATCTTCTAACATCATTAGCTTGCTCAGTCCACACTTTATCTTCTGCTGAGCAAGGCTTAAAGATGTTTCATATTAAAAATTGCTGACAACATAAAAGAGAAGTTGAATTGATTCCTGAATTGGAAATAACTGTGTAGTCACTCTAGGCAAATGATGACTTCTTAATGGTGACCAATGTCCTTTGGCCTGAACTCTCCTCCAGTCTGGCCAACGCTCCCCACACAGGACTCACAGTCATTCTGGCAGTGACCAACACTTGTTAATGCCATATCTGTTATACGGTTCTCCAGTGAGTAATGCAGCTTGTCAAAGAAGAAGTTTTTCTGGAACAGGCAAACTCTTCAGTGGTTCTCCAGTAGCAGTCCCTCCTCTGTAATTTAGCTCCCCAAACACTCAGTGCCTGGGAACCACCCCAGCACTTTCTCTCTCTCAGACTCTCTGCCGGAAAAAAGATGATACCCTTGTCAGCTCCTGCTGTCACATTCTCTTGCCAAATTTCTTTAGCTATTTGCCTTGCCCCATCCTGTGTGCTCACCCCTAACTGATTTCTTCAGTGCTGCAAAGCTACACCATCTCCTAGTCAGTGCTTTACTGCCCCATCTCCAACCATTCACACATCAGTGACCTCTTTAACTTCATTGTATCATGCAGGTGAGAAATAATATATGAAATATGATCCACCTTTTCCTAAAACCAGTTCTATCTGTCCTAATTTCACCTGATCTAACATTTAAAATCTCTGTCTTCCCCAACTGGCTGTGCCAAGCATGGAGAATAATACCTTTACTCCATATAGGAATCCTATAAACACAATGCAGTTCTGTACAACAAAGTTGTGACTTTCCTCCCTGCCATAAATTATTAATATTCTCTTAGAATACCGGCTGAGGAATATAAAGACCATTTAAATTGTTCTGTGGCTATTTTGCTTGTAATTTTGGGGGCACAGAAATATTTCAGATTTTTACAATCTTTTCCAATCAAGAATATATGCATTGTAGTTACCAAAAAGAAAAAACATAGTATTCTCTTAAGAGGAATTCTCTTTGTGAATTTTTCAGACCCATTCTCTGCCTGTGGAAGTGAAAAGGTTAATTCTGTTTTTGGACTAACAGACATATGTCTTTTGATTTAAGTAGCCTTGAACCCTCTGAAATATTGCTTGTTAGTAGACATTAGTCCAAATCAAAGAAGAAAATATCTCTCTGTCTGATACCACAGAAAGTGATCTTCAAATGATAGTTTGAACAGTCACCAAAGATTGATTCTTAGATTGATTATCTAACTCAGGAGATATATCTCATGTACTCAACACCATCTGTAGAGGAAGGAGCATCTGCCACTACAGAGATTGCTTGAGTAACTGTAAATTTATCAGATTTACAGACTGCATTCTATAATGTAATCTATATAAAGGACCTGGGGCCTGGCTAGTCTTATAAAGAGAGATCAGGCTCTGTGCTGTGAAGGTCTCTGATGGTGGCCTTGGCTTGTTTATAAAATGAATGCTTGTTTCAGTAGATCATTCATCGTCCATGCAAGCCAAACCTTCCCTGTTCATTAAGAACCACACACACACACACACACACACACACACACACACACACACACACACA